GTGGCTTGTTCTGTCTCTCTGATCTACCAGCATGGACCCCAATAACTCACCTCAGGTTTGATTTTATTAATAAGAACTTTTAAGATTCCTGCTACAGTATCACACTGACAATCCATGCTAGCCAAGGTCAGCTATCTCAGGAATATCCAATTCTGGAAGCCAAAGATTAATGCCTGCCCTACACACTGCTTCATATCAGTCAAAGGTGACACACAGATACTTAGAAAAAGACTACCAAATGAGACTCTGCCCTAGCAGGTACTGAAAGTCCTAGCTTCATTCTCCCCTTCTGTGGCTGTCAATTCTCCCATTCCTCTATAGGTAGAGGGTGTCTCAGAAGTCAGCTGGTTTCCTCTGCCTCCCTGCACAAGGTGACCCAAGAGACTACTTCCTCAGACTTATTCACAGTTGCACAGGATGCAACTTGGCTTTAGAGCCTTCAGTCTTCTTTTGTCAGAGCCAGAAGAAATCTGGTACTATTCACAAGCACTCAGGGAGTGTGGGGGTGCCCAAGTCACTTCCAGGATGCTTCAGACCTTCACATTGACGGAAAATTCATGCAGGATAAAACTTGGTCATCAGATTCACCTACCCTCCCTCACATACAGCTGAGGACACCCAGGGAAGTCAGGAAGGGGACAGTCTCTGTCCTAATGCACTACCTCTAAAAGCTCTCAGGCTACACTGGAGATCTCTGTGCCACTCATACAGAAGGGATCTCAGAAACCTTAGGACTCACTGGCAGACAGCAATGCCTGGGGACTCCTGCCCTGCTAGTGGTTGTAATGTAAAGTATGAGAACCTCAAGCTTTGCCAGGCCAGTTTCCTCTCCCTATTTTTAGTACAACAATTCCTAAAGAAATGGAGTGGGGATGAAGAGCAGCGATGACACCAAAATAGTTCCCCTGATTCCTTCCTCACTCAGAGGGAAAGCAGAATACCTCCAGCAGAGCAGGCTGTCAACTCCTGACTCTCTGCCAAACTAAACATCAGAAATCCATAACTCTGGGTCTGCTTTTTAGAAACTCAGAGAAGGATAGGCTCCTTACTTCCCAGAGGAGCTGCTGAGCCTAACTCCTGGGAGGCCCAGGGAAAGTCCAACTCATCCAGGAAGCTCCCTATCTCCTGCCCAGTAATCACTGTGCATTCCCCTAGAACATCTATTTTTTTGCTGTTTTACATGAGACCAAATGCCAGCTTCCTTCTGTGTGTCTCTGGTCTCCTTGTGCTCTCCATTCTATCTCTCTAGTAGTCTGCTCAGTCTTTTCTCTAACATGTCTTTGGTTGAGTCTTATAGGTACTGGACAAATGCCCTAAGGGTTATGGGTGTCTCCACAACACTGGTGACATCTCATCACCAGATGATGACAGAGCTCTCCAGGATACAAGAGATTGTCCAATGAAGGAATTGCTAATGTCACATGGTACAGTCCTCACCTCCCTGAAGCCAATGTGCCTTTTCCAGGAGATTCTCCATGGTCAAGTGGAAGGATGAGAAAGTGTCACCAGCTAGACACAAATGGAGCACTGGTTTCAACCAGATCCTAGCCCCACTCAGTGAGCTGAAATAACATGGGGTGCAGGAAGGCTTCCGGGGCTGCTAGGCACTCCCATCCACTGTACTCTCTGAGGTTTACCGAGGCTCAGTGATTCCTTTCAGGTAGAGAATGAGCATCAGACAAGGCTGTGTCTTCTCCAGCACAGCATTAAGGTACTAAAAATGATACTAATGATTGCACCTATAATCGCCTTTATTTTCCCAATCCACAGGCACCTCCGAATAAGTAACCTGTCACTGAAGAATGAAGTTCTGGTCCTGTTTAATGAAGTTCCAAACTGAGGGAGGTTTGCAAACTCTCTCTAATCCCCGAAAGTGGTGGCAGATGGTGGCTTGCCACAGCACCAATAATTATGCTGGATTAGGATCTTCAAATCCTGGGGCACAAGATAGCAGGTGCACTCTTCTTCTTGAGTCAAAGGACTCAAGCAAATAAATATAGGCTAGAAGATTCTGCTAAAAGTACCTCTCTATGTCCCTGTACTATTGCTGTGAAGAGACACCATGACATGGCAACTCTAATAAAAGAAAGCATTTAATTGTAGGCTTGGTTACAGATTCAGAGATTTACTCCATTACCATCTTCTGCTCTCCTCCACTAAGGGAAAATCCCAGCAGAGATATCCATTTCTTCTCAGCTCAGATCCAACATGTTAATTCTTCTGCTTCACTCTGCTAAAGGGGAACCCACTGCAGAAATGTACCAATCTGCTCAAGTCCTGGCAAAAAGTTGCTACTTAAGCTCCTCTCCCAAGGGGTTTCCTAGCAGAAGTATCCATTTCTTCTTCTGTTCAGTTCCCCTAAGGGAATATCCCAGAAGAGACTCTGCCCCTCACCTGTGAAAGAAGATATTCACCCAAAATCTTGAAAGAAAGACATTTATTTGGGAAGGAGGAATCAGAACAGAGGATGACTCTGCCAGGGTGGAGAAGGACAACTGATAACTGAACAGGCAGAGAGGTTTATGTAGGGATTCTTAGGGGTGGAGTTTTTCTAGGAAGAAGACTTTCTGACCAGGGATTGGTTGGTTTTCCTGCTCAGGGATTGGTTGATTTAGTTGGTCAGGGGCAGAGTTGGCTCTGGTTTCAGGGCCAAAGTGTATTTTTTTTATTGGTCTTTTTTTTTTTTCTTTTTTAGCCCTTATCCTCTAGTTTCAGGGCCAGGATGTATTTCTCTTACTGGCTCTGGTTCCAGGGCCAAAGTGTGCTTCTTTGGCTTTGGTTTCGGGGTCAGAGAATGTTAGTTTGGTTTTCGTTTCAGGGTTAAAGTGTTTCTTTCACTGGCTTGGGTTTCAGGACCAGGATGTGTTTCTTTTTCTTTTCATTTTTTTTTAAAGAAATTTTATTTTTTAATAAGAAACTTTTTCATTCATTTTACACAACAAAGTTCCCCCCTCTTCCCTCCTCCTGCCACTCCATTTTCCTCCACCCAACCCACCCTTCACTTGC